TGGGGGGAAATGAGGGTCCCCTGCCCAGGCCTGACACCTCTGGCAGAGGCGTCAGGCCTGGGCAAGGGGCCGATCCTGCGATTGGAGATTGATGGGGTTCAACGCCTGAGGGCTCCCAGTATGTGAGAGGGGGCAGGCTGGGCTGAGGGACACTCCCCCCCACCCCCACCCAGTGCACGAATATCGTGCACCAGGCCCCTAGCTAAAAATAAAAGAGTGAGGTAGGTGTTGGGCCCTGTATAAGTATACACTGGATGATTCAAGGTTGTTTTGAGCATGAGCTAATCAGGAGGTGCTCAAGGTTAGATAATTTATGCAGGTGCAAGGTCACCACAAGCCTTGTACTGGGCAGACATGCTTTTCTGTAGCAAAATACTGGTCATTGTTTGGCAAAGTGCCTTCTTTGTTTGAGCCTGTTTGAGCATGTATATAAGCTGTCACTGACCAGCCTGCTATGGCTGCTTTTGTGTGAAATAAAGCATATCCCATCTGACTGTCTGTGCATAACTATCCTTCTACTTTCCCTCACTGAGGAGGGTCAAGTCCATGGCTGAAGAGCTCACACCCCACAGTGGATTAGGCTGAAAGGACTGAATAGAGGTCTGGACAAACTCAGGGCAGGAGGTGAAGGCCTCAATACTTGACTCCTTCCACCACAGTGGACTTCTGAGAGGCTCCATGCCAGTGGTCTTGATCTGGCATCAAGAGGTTCAGGAATCTGGAGAAGCACTGTGCATAAATTAATCAAGAGTCCAGAGACATAATTTTGAAAGGCATTTGGGGAGTCAGAGAAGACTTAGCTAAATAAACTAAGTTCTCCTTGTCTCAGGACCCCTTGCTCTTTATTAACACAAATTTTCCTAAGGCAAGGTAGATATACACATCAAAGGGTAAGGTTTGGTATACAGTAGGCATTGTTAAATTGGGGGAATTTGCCTATAGATGTTGAGCAGTTTGGCCAGTAGGAGGCAATAACATGTAGATTGAAATGCCCTGAGCTGTCGGGCAGCAAGCAATCATTTTATGGATCCTTTTCAGGTTTGGGAAAATGCCCTCAGCCATCTCCCGATGATTCAGCCCTGCTGACATGCTGGAATTGGCTTCTGGCAGCTCCACTCAACTCAAATTGCCAAGATCCACCATGGACACTCCCCCAAATCCCACCTTCAACATTTTAAACCAACCCTCTGTTCAGAAAGGTAATCTGGAAAGCAACCCCAGCTGGCAACTCCAAGAAAAGGAACTGGAGGGCAGCATTTCCTTTATAAAGATCAGCAGACTGAATTTTTCTTTTGTACCAGCCACTTGCTTCCATTGCATTTTCAAAGGTGAATGCAAATAGTTTCCAATGGCAAGGCATGATTTAAAAGGCGCTGATCCAGGCTCCTCAGACCTGGGTGGCCTCACCTACACACTGCCAACACCCAGATGAGGTGACAGCTGGAGGAAAAGACTTCCTGGGAACAGGCCATATGGCCAGAGCAACCCTGCAGAGCCTCCATTGGAGGAAGATCTGAATTGTAACTGCTATGTGTGGGGAGCTTCTTCACTTTGTGGAGGGAACGGAGGCATGCAGATGCAGTGGGAGCAAAGTGGGAGCCAGCACTGGGATACGGAAATCCAGAGACTTCCAAAAGGAGACCCAATAAACCAGCAGTTGGACATTTCCTAAGGGGTCCCAGAATGAAGAGAGTGCAGGCCAGGCTGAGGGACACCACCCTCAGTGTACAAATTTCATGCATCAGTCTCTAGACTACATATATGTGTATATACATATACATATACATATACACATATACATATACATATACATATACACATATACATACATATATATACATATACACATATACATACATATACATATACACACACATATATATATATATAAAGCCAGTGACCATAATGGCAATAAAGACCATAACAACTGGTCTCTATGATGCCCACTGTGGCCAGCCAACCTCGCAGCCCCTCCCCCTGTTAGCCTTCCCCTGATTGGACTCTCCCACCCTTATCAAGAGTGGGTGGCCAGCCAAACGCCCCTGATCAGCCAACCTCACCATGATAGGCCCGCCACCCTTCCCCCTGGCTGGCACACCCCTGATTGCACCCCACTACCCAATAGGGGTCAGGGCTTGCCAGTAAACCTCCTGCAGCCCCTGAAGTCCCCAATGGGACCCACCACCCTGATTTCCTCCCCCTGATTTCCACCCCACTACCCAATAGGGGTCAGGGCTTGCCAGTAAACCTCCTGCAGCCCCTGAAGTCCCCAATGGGACCCACCACCCTGATTTCCTCCCCCTGATTTCCACCCCACTACCCAATAGGGGTCAGGGCTTGCCAGTAAACCTCCTGCAGCCCCTGAAGTCCCCAATGGGACCCACCACCCTGATTTCCTACAGCCCCTCTCCCCCTGGCCAGCCCCACCCCTGATTGCCACCCCACCTCAATACGGGGCAGGGTCAGCCGGCCAAATTTCCACAGCTCATCCCCTGGCCAGTCCTGCCCACTATGGGCCCCCCAACAACCTGATCGGCCTCAGTCCCTCCCCCGGCTGACCCACCCCTTATCACCCCCCCGACCCTGATGGGGCAAGCCTGGCTGTCCAATCTCCTGCAGCCCCACCTCCTGCCTGACCCTACTCCAAATTGGCCTCCCCACCCAAATCTTGGGTAGGGATTACTGGCCTACCACCTACAGCCCCTCCCCATGATTGGCCCTGTCCCCAATCGTCCCCTGAACCTCAGTTGGGGCAGGACCCATGTCCAATCACTTGCGGCCCCTTCCCCCATCTGGCCTGGCCCTGATCAGACCCTGATCAGGATGGGCCAGCTGGCCAACCTCCCTCCATCTGCTTTTCCCAACAGAAATAGCCCTGATCCGCCCCGATTGGGGCTGGGTTGGCCAAACCCTACCCATGCATGAATTTGTGCACCGGGCCTCTAGTATCCTAATATATAAAAAGCCAGGGGGCTTCATGACCAAAACAACCAGACTGAAGACGTGAGCCCAGGGCATGGACAGTGAAAGGAAGGCTTGAGGAAAGCAGAGGTAAGGGGGATGCCATTTCACACAGCTGTGCTGCCTGCAGTGTGGATGCTGACTTGCTCACATGCACTGTGTGTGAATATACTGCAGGAAAGTAGAGAGGAAATAAGAGCCTGGAGTACTGCTGGGCCCTGGGCCTTCATCTCTCTGGCCCAGTTCTCCACCCCATCTCCACACTGCTCTGGACCAGGATCCCACATGCTGGGACTAGTAAGGCTCCTTGATGTCCCACAATCCACGCTGTAGTATTTAGGATAGTCATTGGAAGCCCCGGCCACCAGTTTCCTTACATAGACCAATCATTGGGCATAGCTCAGATCAAGATTTCATGGGTCTGGTTCTGCATTACTGCTCAGGAACAGTGTAAGGTCCTCATGTCACAAAGTAAAAAGAAGACTTCACGAACAGTACAGAAGCCTCTTATATAACAAGGGGATTCTAAGGAAGCCAGCCCGCTGCCACCACCAGAGACACATGAGCCTATAAGAAGACATTTTAGGTCAGCAGCCCAAGAACCAAGACCCCCAGTGGCAATGCAGATGTAGGTCCTGATGGGATCCTACAAGAGTGGGGATCAGTCTTTAACTATCAGCTATTCTCTACCACTGACCTCCTCAACTGGAACTTCACATGCTGCCTGCCATATTCTGAGAAACCCCAGTCAATGATAGAGCTCCTGGAATCCATATTTCTGACTCATCACCCCAGCTGGGTCAACTGTAAACAGTGCCTCCTCACCTTGTTTAACACAGAAGAATGCCAGCAAATTGTTACTGAAGCCAGGAAATGCCTCCAAAATCAGGCACTGGGCATGGGAAGCCCTGCCTGATGAGGAGCCACACATGGTCCCAAATACAGAGAAAGGAAAAAATCCCCTAGAAAGATACTGACTCACCTTCCTGCAAGGAATAAGGGCAGGAACCAAGAAACCTACAAAACCTGGCACTGATCTCTGAGGTCTTACAGAAACCAGATGAGATTCTAGCTGACATCTATGAAAGGTTCTGCGAGGATTAGAGAGTCCACTCCATTTGACCCAAAGGCCCCTGAGAACAAATGCCTGGTCAATGCTGCCTTTGTAGGACAGGCTCAAACCAACATCTGACAAAAGCTTTAGCAATTAGAGGGATTTCTTGGAAAGAATGCTACTGAATTCTTGGAAATCACCCACAATCACCCTTTTGTAAACTGGGTCTGCACAGCCAGGAAGGAAGCAGAACAAAGAATGTGAAGCAAAAGGTGGCCCTGCTGGCTGCTGGGGCACCCAGGTCCACCAGGTGACACAGGAACTGAACACTAGGAGGTGATACAAAGGGTACACCCCTATCAGGATGGGAAGTCACCATTGTGGGGACTACCAGGACCACAACCTTTAGACCATTCTGTGGCTCCCGACAATGCCAGCTGGTAGGCCACCAGGTGGTACATGAGTATCTGTATAAACCACTGCAAAATCCTGACCTCATTCTGTACATATACAGCAGTCATTTCATGAGTAAAGGCAAAAGATATGCTGGGTATACAATAGTTTGGGATTTTAAAACTTTGCAGACAAGGGCCTTTCCTCCAAAGAGCAGAACTGTGGACACTGATGAGGACATGAGAGCTTAGCAGGATAAGCAGGTCAACATATATACTGACTCATGGTATCCTTTGCCACTCCATATACATGGAGCTATATACAAGGAAAGAGGACTCCTTGCGGCAGAAGGGAAAGGAATCAAAAACAAAATAAAATCCTGAAACTATTAGAGGTGGTCCAGGAACCAAAGGAGGTAGCAGTCATCCACTGCAAGGACACCAAAAGGGAAAAGACTCAGTGTCAGAGGGGAGTGTCGGGCAGACACTGCAACTAAACAAGCAGCAAGAGAACAGGCAACACCACCCAAAATCATGCTGGCTCCATAACTGCACACACCCCCAAAATACACAGCCTAGGAAAATGAATAGACACAGCAAGAGGAAGGAAATATGACTAAGAAGGGATGCTGGATACTTCCAGACCACAGGATCTATGTGCCAGAACAACTAGCCCACTCAAATGTCCTCCAACCACACGAACAGACCCACCCGGAAAAAATCGCCCTAGAAGTTTTATTGAGTTGTTACTACCTGATCACTTGACTTCCATCCCTCTGTGCTTCAGTCTCCCATGGCTGCCTCCTTTGTGCTCAAAACAATGCCAGGCAAGGCCCCATCAGGCCTCCTAGAATTCAGCGCGGTGGCCAAACATCCTTCAAAGATCTAGAGGTGGAATTCACTGAAATAGGACCCAGAAAGGGAAGTAATTATCTCCTAGTGTTTGTCTGTATTTTCTTTGGCTGGGTTGAGACCTAATCCATGCATACAGAAAAGGCAAGAGAAGTAACCAAGGCCCTGCTAAGAGACATCATCCAGAGATATGGGATGCTGTTAACTATGGGATCAGCCAATGGCCCAGCCTTTGTGGCAGTAGTACAGTAGATAGCTAAGACTCTAGGCATCCAATGGCATTTACTCAGACCTATTGGCCCCAGAGGTCAGTGAAAGTAGAAAACATGATTGGGACCTTAAGCAGGCTATGGCAAAGCTATGTCAGGAAACCAAACTGCCCTGGACTGATATACTGCCTCTGCTCTCCTGTGGGTACATTTACTCCATGGGCAAAGATAGGATTCTCCCCTTTTAAAATCCTATAGGGAAGATCTCCCCTACTAATCAAACTCAAGGAGGACATAAAAGAATTAGTAAACTTAGGAATTCAGAAGCAACTACAAAGACTAGAAAAAAATGTCCTTAAGGTACATAGATGGGAAACTGACAGAATTTCTCTGGGAATAACTATACACCCCCACAAACCAGAGGATCAAGTCTGGGTAAAAGACTGGAAGAGAGAACCCCGCAAACCAACCTGGAAAGGGCCTATTTTGTCATACTAACCACTCCCACAGCCCTTAGAGTTGCAGGTCTGAACACCTGTATGCATCACGCCCTGGTAAAGACAGCTCACCTGCTGAAGGACAGGCAATCTGAGTGTCTGGATTGTCCCAAGCTAGGTTAATCCTCTGCAGACCACCTTAACAAAGACAGTAAAACCTGCTAATTGATCTACAAAAAGCCTGAGGATTCACTCCATCAGTAGACCCAATAGCCACCTTCTGGAATAATGCCAGCACTGGACCCTGTATCCTTACTTACATTTTTCTGTTAGCAATATTAACAGTTTTTCCCCTCACCCTCCTTGTTTATTGTTGTCCCCAACCAAAATAAGACTGTTTATTTTACTGTCGTTAATCTGTTATTGAGACCTTCAACCACCCCTAATGTTCCTGCCAGGAAATTGTCTATACAGGACCTAGGAACCAGGGGAACAAGGGGGAGATGGGTGTGGTGGGCCTGTATAGAGTGTTTGTCAGAAAGCTGAATACTCCAAGCCAGAGCTTTGTCCTCTACAGTTTTAAGGTTAATGATGTTAACTAAGTCTGCTAAAGGCAATTTAAGAATCAAAAGTGGGGGATGAGATGGCAAGAATCCTCCCTGCTTGCACCACCATAACCATGCCTTAGCTTCAACAATCTCATTTGCTTCTGTTTCAGCAGAGTTTACTGCTGGTTAAGCTTCTGTTGTCTTGGGCTGTGGTGCCTGGCACTCCTTCTCAAACTGCAATAGATACCCAGAAACTTAATATATAAAGTAGAAAGAATGTCTAGAATGTGTATGTATGCCATATATGGGAGACAAAGAACCTAGGAATGTATATAAGGCAAAGCCCTGCCTCATTCATTGCTCAGCCTTTGAAGAGGATCCCGAGCCAGCATCAGTGCAAATAAACAGGCCTTTCTGAACCTCTGAGTGCAAGTTTATTTGGTTTGTCTCTTCCTTTTGGCCTGATTTCTGTCATAACAGGACAGGCTTCCAACCTTGTCCTTTTTGCATTTTGAACCCAGTGAAAGTAGCACCTGACCAAAATAGTTAAATTGTTTTTGAAAGAGTACCATGTGAAAATTAGGGACAATTGCCTAATGGGTGTTTATTTTTGGAGTGACTCACTGCTTTCAAGTGGCTTCACCTAGGACCTGTGTCTGCACTGGCTTGAAACAAGGTGGTACTGATAGGGGGGATGTATAACCTGATAGAGCACCTGAATTAACCTGAAAAATAATCATATTTTTAATCTTAAAACACAAAGACTTATGAGAATAGGGGGTAAGTATCTCATATGTGAAGAGAGAGTTACATTTTTCTTAAGATTTCTTTTTCAAGGGCTGTGAGGTGACTCAGCTGTGAATCCTGCAAGCACAACTGATAAGCTTGGTCAGGTAAAGCCACCAGGAGTCAAATCATCTCATCAACATCATCTCATCATCAGATGATTAAAGACAATAACTGAAGTCTTTGGACCAGGGCTGCATTAGCTGAATTACATTCACCCCAGCCCACTCCTCTTTAAAATCCTGTTCACTGCACCTTTCTGTAAGGATTTCAATTCTTGTAAGCACTCTGTTTTCTTGGTTGTTTAGTCTTCTCAATAAATGCCTTATAGGATTCAACCCTAGCTTCCTTATTGGAAATAGTGACAGGCAGGGGTTTCCTGTTAACAGTATAGCCCACAGGGGCCCTGGAGCCAGGGAGGCAGGAAAATGTGGATGGGCATAAAAGACTCCTTCCTGGAAGGAGATCCATAATTCTGGATGCTCAAATCCTGCTTAGTGTCCTACAGGGTGACACAGCTCTAACTTGGGGTGCTCTTTTCTAAAGAATGGAAAGCATTTGCATCCTATTAAGTTTTCCAACTTAGCATCTACCTCCACATTACTGGACTCAATCCAAAGTAGTTTCAAACAGTTGCTTTGCTTAGGGAGTCAGGGCTCCTAGTCAGCTTTTTGTTCACTTTGTTGTGTTGTGACTAAGTTTTCTTAACAAGTCTCCCTCCAACTCTTTCTGGCTCTCTTCTTGCTGTCACCTTCTCTTAGTCTTTGAAAACACTCAATCCATCTTACTGTCCCTCTGATTTTGTCTCCTTCTCCCTTCTTGCCTTTGAACTCCCGTATTCTTGTCTGTCCATTGACTCTTGTGAATGAAAGGGGCCACAAGCTAACCTGTCAAGCTCAGAGAAGGCCTGTATGGCAGTCTTGCAAACTCAAAGACCTAAAGTGACCACAAAGGATGGTCTGACATTAAATTTTAACTAAAAGCAGTATGGTGGGTAGTCACTCCTAGGACAGTAACTTCACTGACAAGGTCAGCCTTTACTTAATGTGCCTGGACACCAGGAAAGATACCACAAATTCCTTCATTGTTATTGTTATCATGTTAATAGTTAACTGTAAATTATCCTGCACCCACCTAATTATGTGTCATGTAACCCATCTACACCACTTCCTTTAATTGCAATGTATAAAAATAGATGAGAAATTGCCATTCTGTGGAGCATTATCCAGTCCAGAGCAGCTGCTGTGGTACTGCTGAGATACTGCTTCCGGACAATTGTCAAAAGTTTGGCTCAAATAAACTCACTGAAAATCTTTACAGGTTTGAATGTTTTTACCTTAACACTCTCCTTGTCTGTTTCCTGTGAATCTATTCCTCTCTCCCCCTTTCTCTCTTTTCACCTTCACCCCTTACTGATCTCCCTTCCTATTGCTAACAATTCTGGCACATATTTCTACCAGGGTCTGAACACTGACCCTCTGGCTTCTTATCACATTCTATAGGTCTGAGAGAGTAGAGATCTTTCTCTGCTATCTTTCTTCTGTCTGTTCACAATGGGCAAACTCTGGGTCTCTCCCTGCCCCCAAGTCAGTCACTCTTCTCTCTCCCCATTCTCTTCCCCTTCTCCACACCCTCCTTATCCAGTCCCCTCCCCACACCCTCATCCCACTTCCTTCCCCATAGCTTTTCTGACACCCTAAGGCCTGGCAATACCCCAAATCATGCTGGAGACCAAAGAGTCACCACAGGTTACCAAGGACATGCAGGGACAGCTGCTGCCCACCAACACAAACTACTGTCCTCTCAATGTGCATGTTCAGGGAGGGTCGGGCATAAGTCCCAGCCTCTCCATTCCAGGCAGGCTTGGGGGACATGCCCCTCCCCAAATCTCTGGGTGGGGGGTGTTTCCATGAAGACTGCAGCTGACCTCATCTTAATGAAGGCCATGATTAGTGCAGGACCCTGCTAATCCTCTGACAGGCCCTAACAGAATTGAGAGAGAGAGAGAGCTTGGGAGGCATGTGCCGTTGGAAAGGCAGCTCTGCTGTCATTTGCCACCCCCCCGCCCCGCCCCGAGAAGTTAGCCCATGTATACAGGGCCCCATGCCTGGGTTAGAGGCAGGGATGTGAGGAAGAGGCAGCCTGGAGTATTATCTGATCTTTGGGAACAAAGCTACCCAGGGAAACAGAGTGGAAACAAGGGCGAGGGTTGGAGAAGGGCCAGGAGGCAATCAGACTGCAAGTGCACATGCCCAGGGGAGCAGACGCAGCCACTGAGCTTGGAGTCCATTGGCCCATCAGACTTGATGAAACAAAAATGTAAAGATGCAGTAATTAAGAATTTCCAGATGAGTCAGGAGAGGGTAAATCCCGCGGACCCCGGTACAAGGTCAGTGCACTGCAGAGGCTGCTGTGTGGTGGGCTTTCCAAACACCCTGTTCAGGTGAGATGCAGCCAGAAGTTCTCAGCAAGGTGTGGCGAGAGGGTCTTGTTTCCCAAGTCAATCGCAGTGCCACCTGCCTGTGCTGAAAGAGGCTTTGAGGCTGCCCAGGCTCAGTGGGAGGGCAGTGATCTGGGGAAGGTGCATCACTGACCTCATGCTTCTTTCTCAGGGGAGCTGAGCCCATGCAGAGAGAGCAGTGGCATCTCCTTCAGCTCTGAATTGGTTCCAGTTCCATACCCTCTCTCTACCTTCTCCTGTCCACCACTAAAGACCTGGAAGACATGGGCACCGGAACCTATTCATGAAGACTTGCATTCTCAGCCACCCTTGTGCCAGATGCTGCCTGTGCTGACTCAACTTGGAATGACATACCAATGGCTAGGGTCCCTCCTCCCATTTTATAGATTGGAAACAGGCACAGAGAAGTTGAGAATCTTTCCTTGGGTCACACAGTTGGTGAGGGTAGAGATGAGACTGGAGTCCACACGCTGTGCACCATAAGATGTTGACACTAAAGAAGCAACAAGGAGAGAGTGAGGGAGGCCAGGTACATGCACTGCCAGGTCATCACATGCAGCAGACACACACACACACACACACACACACACACACACACATGCATACACTTCCTCCCTGGCTTTCACCTCTGAAACTAGAGAGGGCTGAGGAAACAAAAAGAGGAGCTAAGAGAAGCCAAGGATAGGAGGGGAGAGCATATTAGAATAAAAATTCCCACTTCCCAGGAATCCAGGGAATTCTCTTCTCTGGTGAGTCTGTCTCAAATCCCTCTCCCAGGACAGGAACCTAATTGACTCCAGGTTTATGCCTTACCAGGGGTTGAGTTTTTGTGAAAGAAAATACAAAATCTCTGTGACCCTAAAGGAATTGTTTTCAGGTATATAGGTTTCAGATTTGTATAGAAACAAACTTTATTAAAATGAGGCCAAAGAAAACAGGGATGAGATTGATTCCGTCAGCACTTAAGAAATTGTCGATTTCATCTCTTGTCATGAAAGTGGAGGATTTGTTTAACCAGTAACTTCTGTACTAACTACACCTTTGGGGGGTGGGTAAGAGGCCAGTAGACTTCCTCTAACATCTCTCAGAGTGGGGTATGAGGAATGTGGTGACTAAATTGGTCCTATGGCTTTTGAGATATGATTTAGGGCTAATGACTCACTCATTCTCCCTGAAAGCATAGGAGTTCTCCCCTGAGTGTGTCTTCTGATGTGTGATGAGATGTGGCTTCTGTGAAAAGCCTTGCCCACACTCCCTACAAACATGGGGCTTTTCCCCTGAGTGTGTCCTCTGGTGTCTAATGAAACCTGAATTCTGTGTAAAACCTTGCCCACACTCCCTGCAAACATAGGGTTTCTCACCTGAGTGGGTCCTCTGATGTCATATGAGACCTGACTTTTCTGTAAAGCCTCGACCATATTCCCTGCAAATATAAGGCTTCTCCCCTGAGTGTGTCCTCTGGTGTTTGATGAGATCTGACTTCTGTGTAAAGCCTCGCTCACATTCACTACAAATACAGAGCTTCTCCCCTGAGTGTGTTCTCTGGTGTCTGATGAAATGTGACCTCTGTGTAAAGCCTTGCTCACACCCTGTGCAAACATAGGGCTTCTCCCCTGAGTGTGTCCTCTGGTGTCTGATGAGATGTGATTTCTGTGTAAAGCCTTGCTCACACTCCCTGCAAACATAGGGCTTCTCCCCTGAGTGTGCCCTCTGGTGTATCTTGATATGTGACCCAACACTGAAGCCTTGCCCACACACTCCAGACTTGATTGCTACAATTTTTGACATTCCTACTCCCACAAATAATTTGCCTGTGTTCTCTGGATTCACATTCTGGTCTCTGCTAGGCTCTTTCTCCATTATTCTCTCCCACTCGCTAGAGCTCCCAATTTGTCCTTCAGAAGGTTTGAAAAAATCTGAGAAATTCTCCTCTGCCTGATCCTTTTAGGTAAAGGTTTGGACCTTTTTTTGACCTCTTCACTTTCAGCTGTGTCACTCCAGCCATGTGTACCACTATGTTGCAGCTGCTGATTCTGATCCTCTGGGCTAGGCTTCTCTGATTGGAGGTATTTTCTTACAGATGTTCTTGGCAGACTCTCAGACGGGTGATTGCATTTCAGGTGTTGACAAAGAAATGTCCGATTGGATAAGGCCATAGAGAATGAGGGGCATGGGTGGATCTCTGGCTTTTGTTCTGCTAAAGGAGAAAGTTTTGGTCAGGGGAGGTGTTGACAAGGCAGCCTGTGCCATACACTTTGTCTCCTGGTCAGATATGACTCACAATCATTCTTATTGTGTTGACAATGCAAGCATTCAGTCACAAAGTGTTCCTTCACAGTCTATTTTTATTTTTATGCACTACATTGTCTCCGGAAATCTAGAAAGCTCATATCAAGGTATTTTCTGCATATGGCCAGACTGGAACTTTCAAGGAGCAATAGAGGCCATTTCACATCTTGTATGGATTGAACTACAGTGACCTTTACTGATACATGCATCTTCCAAAGTCATGCTAAAAACCACAGGCCTAGCCAGTATGTTCAGTACTTGAGAATCAACTCATGCTCTAGGTGGTCACCAGTTCTATTCCTGGTCAGGACACATACCCAGGTTGCTGGCTTGATTCCCAGCAGGGGGCATTAAGGAGACAGCTGACTGATGTTGATATCTCTCTCTCTCTCTCTTTCTCTCTCCCTTCTTCTCTACAATCAATAAAAACTTTAAAATAAAGACAGACACAGAGATAAAGAAACCACAGTACCCAATTAGGAATAGCTTCTTGCTCTAGTCGGTTTGGCTCAGTGGCTAGAGAGTGTTGGCCTGTGGACTAAAGGATCCCGGGTTTGATTCTGGGCAAGGGCACGTGTCTGGGTTGCTGGCTTGATCTCCAGTAGGGAGCATGCAGGAGGCAGCTAATTAATGATTCTTTCTCATCACTAATGTTTCTATCTCTCTATCCCTCTCCCTTCCTCTCTAAAAATCAATAAAAATGTATTTTAAAAAATAGCTTCTCTCTCAATTTATCACAAATCATAAAATGAAAACATGTCCCTCCTCAAGCCTTACACCAAGTATTCCTACTTGATTTTATTCAGTGTTAGTCCATTTCAAGTACAATAGGAAGTCTTGTTTCAAAATATTTCCCTAACAATGCTTCTTACATTCAATTCCCATTCCTCTCCAGCCAACTGCCATCCTCTATCACTTGGAGATAAAGTAATCTCAGAGGGGATTCCAGAGTGAAGTTTATTTTCCCCAAATAAATTTGTTTTAAATATATTTTTCTTGATTTCAGAGGAAGGAACAGGGAGAGAGAGACAGAAATGTCAATGATGAGAAAGAATCATTGATTGGCTGCCTCCTGCATGCTCCACACTGGGGATTGTGCCCTGACTGGGAATCAAACAGTGACCTACTGGTTCAAAAGTCAGTGCTCAATCTCTGAGCATTAAAATTAATAAAGCATAATTATAGAACAGAGAGAATGCTACTTTGCAGCTGAAAACTTCTCAGTTGTCCCATCTCACTCAGAACTGAAATTCTCTCTCTATCCAGGAACAGGCTGCAGTGGTAC